GGTCTTCTCCATTTTGGGGAAATACAGTGTTTTATGTTTGATGCGCCTGTGTTGCCAAGAAAGTGATGTAAATATGAGCCATTTACATAGCCCCAAGGCAGATGATTTCTTCATTAAGGGCCCTCCTCCAGGGGAGTTTGCAGGAAAGTTGAGATGAATTGCAGTAATGCTGGGAGGCTGGTGTGGCTGACTCCAAGGACACTGGATCCCGGAGCAAAGGCTCTCTCAGGAATTCCCTGGCCCTGAGTTGTGGTGGTTCCATGGAGCTGCTCTGGGGACTCAGTGCAGGAATTGCCTCAGCAGTGCTGCACACCCCGGGCAGTAACACTTGCCACATTATTCAGGGCTGAAAGCACAAAGTGGCATCATTGGGAAGCACATCTCCTGTTTAAACCTCTGCTTGGGGCTTTTTTTCTCCTGCCTGTGAGACGTGGTGTTGGCAGATGGGGGATGAAGGGCAGGGATGCTCAGTCACAGCACGGGAGCTGCACTGCACACGCTGGCAGAGCCAGACCTTTCCTCAGCTTACCTGAGCATAGCTCATTCCTTCTGACCTTGCTTTGTAGACCACATCCTTACAAGAGAAAGGTGTTACTGCAGCTGGCCTGGGATACCTCTGCATGGACCTGAACATCCAGAATTAGCAGATGTTTCCGTCATGACAAAGTTGCATTTTAATGCAATATTCACTGTACTTACTCTAAGAGTGGAAGTAGAAGAGAAACCAAAAGTGACTGTTGAAAAAGACAAAGATTAGTGGTAAAAGAGGGCTATCCCAGTTTTAGGGTGTGGAGGAATTAGAGTGGAATAGAAAACTCTCCAAAGTTCTTGTTTGTTTTGTCCGTCAGAGAAAACTTTCTCTCTTGCCTTGGCCCAAGAAAGCTATAGCTGTGTTATTTGTGGGGGAGAGCAGTAATTCATCTAAGTGGAGAATTCCACCACATTCAACTTCTCATTTTTCCTTGGTAAACCAGCCTTCAAACTTCGGCTTGAGGAAAAACTTGTCAAATCTCATCACCCTAAACTCTGAAAAGATGTGTGATTTGAAAGTGGGAGTTGCCTCCTATGTTGGACAAATGTCATGGTGTATTTTGTTGGCCAAGACCTGTGCTCTGATACTGTGCTGTTCCTCTGGTTTTCTGGTTTTTTTTTAGCTAGTCTTGGAACTGCAGTTGTGGGAGGCAGAAGCAGGATCCTGGGTTTTGAGTGTTACAAGGCAAGGACTGAGCTGTAGCAGCTGGGGAGTTGGGTTTTTTCTCTGCAGCTTCGTGTCTCAGCCACCTGGAGCAGTGCAAACTTGGATGGAGCATGGAGGCTTCTCAGGAGGGCTGGAGGTTCTGGATCCTTGCTTCCTCTTCCCAGGAGAGTGTGTGTAGTCAGCATGGAAAGGAAAGGCAGCAGTTTTGTCTGGGATGGGAGCTGTGGCTGCAGGCAGAGCCAAGGAAGCTCTGGAGAAGGGACTTCCCTGCAGTTTGCAGGGGGGCACTCACTGCCTCACAGCCACGCCAGCCAGGGGTGTGCCTGTTCGTTCATGGGCTCATTTATGTACACTGCCTCATAAGTTGTTGATTTCATCAGTTAAAAACCACAGTGATAATGAATGTTAACACATGCTTGGTTCATTTTTTTTAATGAACCCTATCACTGGATGAGCCGTGGCCTTTGAGAAGCAGCTTTGATTCATGCAGCAGCATTTGCACAACATTTTTTAGATCTCTGAGTAAGTCGTGGGGCTGTGGAATCAACCTTGTGTATTTCACTTTCATTTCTTGTATTCTGAGTAGTTTGCTTTTTTACAGAATACGAAGTTAGATTCCTCTCTGAGTGAATGGCCAGTGAAAGTGATAGTAGGTATGCTTTATTGAAGTTTCATGTAACTTGTAACTACAAGTTGGGAGGATGCTTCTGGCAAGTGCATAAATGTGTAGGAGGACAAGATTATCCTGATGTTTTAAAGAGAATATATTTTGTATTGAGGATTGAGATTTCTATTGTGATTAGGAAAAGGGAAGTTTCTGTAGGAGCACAGGTTTTTTCTGATGAAGTGATTAATGTGGATTTCATGTTTTGCCGTGGCTTAGCTGTGAGACAGGAGTGGCAGGTGGCAGGAGGGTATTGTCTGTAGCACTGGCAGCATGGACAGTCTTTGAGAAGGGGAACATATATTTTTATTGCAAGAAAAATGCTAACAGATTTAGTTGTAATCTTATTTGAAGTACCAAAGAGTTAAAAATAAATGGTGTGTATGGGACTATTGTCCTTTTCCTGTCTCCCTCCATCAGACAGGGAAGCAATTGGGATTTTCTCCAGCCTCTCTGATGAATTTATCAGTAGAGTTGGGCTGCCACACCCCAGGCCACTGCTGCTGCTGCACGTCCTAAACTGATGGCACATCTTTACTTGCATTTGAAATGCTTTGGGTTAAGTCAGGCCTGAGTGTACACAGCTAAGGTTTTTATCTTATAAGAGTGTGTCACAGGTAAATGTGAAAGAAAGAAATTTTATCGTTTTTTAAGGGATAAAATGAAATCTAAATGTAGAGTTGCTCTGGAGTTTATTAATTCTGGGTTTGGGAATATGTAAATAACACAGGATTATTTGGGTTCATTGCTCCAAGTGCCTCTTCAGTACGTAATTAATTTCTAATGCTGTTTGAAGGAAACTCTTTGGTCTCTTTTGAGCTTTGCCAGCCAAGATGGGTGTGTTGGCCTTGAAGAAGGAATGCTGCCTGGTGTGGAGAAGAGTCAGTGTAAAAATTTATCAGCGAAACACCAGAGTTGTTGCCCAGTGCAGCACCTGATGTGCCAGAGATTTTGGCTCCTTCAGCCTAATGTTGGTGGCACAATTCAGAGTTGTTCATGTTTTGAGAAAATGAACCTAATATTTGGGGCTTGTACTACAGTACTTCTAGAGAATAATTGCAGAAGCATACCTTTTAAAAGAAAAAAAAATGTTTACAAGTGTCATATATCAAAAATAGTGTCAAGAAAAATAGAAACTTTATTGTATTGGAGAATCTAGAAGTAGAAATTTTGCTGGTTAACATTTAGCATTAAGTTGTGATGTTGATCCTTCTTGCAAGAGCAAAGATTGGTTTTTAAAGCTTTTTTCTTTTTAATTGCATTCAGTGTCATCTTCAGTTTTGAGGCTTGTGTTTACAGAGAAGATGAACTTCATTACATGCTAATACTTTAAAATGAGGCTGTGTCTGGACAGTAATTTTTTTTGTATATGTGTCATTGCTGAAATCATAGTTTGATTCTGCTTTGATTCTGAATATTCCATTTCACGCATGATCTTTCTTTCTGAAGCTATTCAATGTCAAAGATAAAATCTGAAATGTTTAATCACTGGGTATCCATTGAGAATTTGTTTGATGTGAATTGGCCTGCTCTGTTAGCTGACAAAAATTAGTGTGGCATCTGCTGTCTTTAATGAATATGTGCTAAGTGAACTGTGGGAGGCTTTCCACCCAAGTGTGAGGTTTTTTATTAAAGTAGTTTGGTTGAGTTTTAATCTGGTTTTAAATTTACATTTTCTGCTGTATTATGAAGTACGTGGCAAATGAGCATGAGGGGTATTGTCCTTTTCTTAGAATTACTGCTCATGTTAGTGACAAAAATGCTTTCTTGGTTACTTCTTTCAAAATCCTATTTCTTCATTTTGCAAGTTTTGTTGTGGGAGGCAAAGACAAACCAATGGGTGAAGCATAAAAAGTACTTGAAGGAAGTTTTTCTGCAAAACATTGAAATTGGCAAGTAAGGATTTAGCAGAAATTGGTTTTTATCCTGGATTCTGTCAGTCTTCTAAACTTATGTTTGTGCAAAACATTCAGATTGTTGAATATTTGGGTCTGAGGAAAGAATCTCGCTTAGTTCCTCATCTTCAGATTGAAGTGCTTACTGCGGATAGAATTTTGTGGCACAGCAAGAAGAGAATTCTTTCTAAAAAATGTCAGTGGGTGAATGGGGGTGGTTGTCCTGAAAACCAAAGCAAAACATTCTTAAGGCCTTCCTTGCTTGTCCTGGAAAATGCAGAAGCCCCAACAAAACAACAAAAACCCCCAAGTCATCCGTGCAGCTGCTTCAGGCGTGGTGTGAGAGCTGTGTGCCGGTGGTGTCCCAGTGGTGTCCCATGGTGCTGGCAGCTGTCCGTGCTGGCCTCGGGAGGGGAACATATTTTAGTTCTGTCCACTGGGCAGACTTTATTTCAAGTACAGTGAGTGCCAGGGTTTTATCCTAAATGGTGAATTCAGCTCTTGTTGAATTCAGAGTGCACACGTGTTAACTCTTCCAATACATCCTCTGAATTTAGTGTGACCTGTCATTGTGTCAGTTCCATGTTTGTGATTGCAGCACCAAGGGATTTTCCTTCATCTCTTAGCTGCTTGTTTTATTGTGCTATAAGGGAATGATAAAATATGTTTTTATATGAAATATAGTGTACTGATGATGATAAATGTGGAAAAGGGAGGCATTTTTGGAGACTGGTAGAAATCCTGAATCTGTTCTATTTTGAATTGATTTAGGTCTCAATTGGTAGTGAATTTTAAGTAATAATCTTCATTGACATGTCTTTGACAATCACACAACATTAATACTCTGTAGTTGTGCTTGAGGTTGACAAGTGCATTCCATCTTCTAGTTTTGGAATAGTGTATCATGAGTAAAAAAATGAAGTGAAGTGTTTGAGGTACTGTTTGCATGTTAAGCCAGTGGCCTGCAGGGGTTTCATGCTTTTTGGGGTGTCTTGGTCATTTTGATGTTAGAGTCCTTGTAATTGGGCTCAGTTGTTCTTTGTTGAATGGGACAGATCCAGAAAAATCTTACATTACTTTGCTTTTGTTTTTGCTCCCTCCACAGTGCCCTGCTGTAAACTAAAATCACACATTCCTGAGCGTAAACCGATCATGCTCCCAATGGAAATTTCAGGAATACTTGTGGCTACTTTCAAAATGTGGAAATCTATTTATTTTTTTTTCCACTTGTTTTTCTTCCCAGCTTTTGGCGCTGACGGCGTTCATCTGCATAGAGACCATCATGGAATGCTCCCCGTGCGAGGGCCTTTATTTCTTTGAGTTCGTGAGCTGCAGTGCCCTGGTGGTCACCGGAGCTCTCCTGCTTTTGTTCAGTCTCAACCTTCACACAAGAATACCCCAGATCAACTGGAATCTCACTGTAAGTTAATTTAAATCCTCGCTGTGTTAAAAATAGCTGCAAATCTGATTTAAGTTTGGTCTTTGCTTTCTCCTGTGGTTTAGTGCTGTGTATGAGTGTTCTTTATGCTGGGTAAAGTATACATTTTACTTACATTTATTTTGAATGCTAACAGCAGAATGAGCTGTAAAATGTAGCAAGATTAAACTACACCAAATAGAGCTAAAATTGTATTCTGGTAGATTGTCTTTGTGAGGACAAACTTCCTGCTAATGCCGGCAATTATGTTTTGTGGGTGAAGTGGATAAACATGCAGTTATTTAACTTTGTAAAATGTTAAAATGATAAAAATGTAGTTATTTAACTTTGACAGATGCTGTATTTACAGCAGCATGTTGTTCTCTCTTAACATGGAGTTTTTTTATATTAGGACAAATTTGCTACATATATTTTCTTACATAGACTAATACAGTCATTGGGCAGTAGTGTAGAAAATTAAGTGCTTTCTGTGAAAATTGGGTGTTTTGTATTGCCTACACACCTATTAAGTATTGACTGGCAATGCTTAATGTGTTCTCAGATATGAGGAGTTTTAGGAGGAGAACTGCTGGCAGTGCACATTCCTTTTGTACATGTCTCTATTTTCATGCTGTATTCTGAGTTAAACTTTCAGACTGGGTTGCATAAACACAGGTCACAAAATCAACATGTTAAGTCACTGTAGCAAAAGGTCTGTCAGCTTCAAGGGCAATATTTATACCAGCTTCTTTGGACAGTACAGATACAATTGTGCCAGTGTTCTGTGTTATAACAGTAATTTTGCAAGTACTGTTGGCGTCCCAGAGGTTTTTAGGCTTCTGTGTGATTTAAAAAAAATTAAAATGTAATTTATTAATGCAGCAGTTTGCTTAGTTTCTCAACCTAAATGACTTGGTTAAATTGAGACTGGAACGTGGAATAGGATGATCCTTTCTACCCTGGGGCTGCATAGTTAGTTGATGAATTCCTTCTAGGAATGCCTGGTAGATAGATAAGGTGTTCTGTGGCTGAACTGTCCAGAAATTATCCCTTCATGGTGGCATCAGTTGTGCCTGCATAGCACTTGTTAGGAGGTATTTTGGGGAAGGGGGCAGGGTTAAAAATCCAATCAGCTGTGCTTTGGAGTTTCTTTGTTCTGTTTTATAACAGTTTTTGAGCAGTGGTCATGCTCTGCACCCCCTGCCTAATCAGCACTGGAGCAGTGTGAGCAGGTCGGGGGCCAACCAAAGGCACCTGGAATACCCTGCAGTGCTTCAGCTCAGATTGCCACAGCCAGAGGCAGAAGGAGTCTGCCATGATCTCCTAAGGCTCCTTCTGTTAGTTGTGTACTGGAGGTGAAATGCTTCTCCCATCCTTGTACCAGAGCTCTTCAGAAGTGAGAAGGGAGCTGGCAGCTTGTGTCTTCCATGACCTCATGAGACCATCCTTCTTCCCGGTGTTTCTTACAGATTCCAGCAATCTGATTGTATTTGATTTTTATTTATGATTATTTGATCTTAACAAACAGTTGGGACTGTTCCTCTGACAGGAATGAGAGATTACCTTCAGTATTCAGAGTGCTTGGGACCATTCTGTGATTCTACAGCTGTTTCTGCTCCTGCAGGTACAGAGTGTGAGATCAAAGCTTGCTGATAAAACACCTGGGGGACAGTACTTTGGCCAAGTTAGTAGGAAATTTAAGAATGTAGGGTTCTGGCTGACTTTTTTTTTCCTTTTGCTTTATTTGGCATTTTAGTTTTTACAATTTAAATGTATGTTCATACATTATTTGCCTCTTTCAATATTTATTACTTTCCTGTGTCTTGATGGTTATTTTTATACTTTCTCAGCCTCTGTATATGACACAGTTATTACAGGAGCTGCTTTCTGAACAACAATCCTTCACATCCCTGAGTGCTTTAGGAGGAAGTCACTCCTGCTTATGTATAAATTCATCAAGATGCATGCTTTTAAAAATATATATGACTTTTATAATGCATATTTCCCTTGTGGAAGGTCTCAAGCATTGCATTGAGTGCTTTAGGAGGAAGTCACTCCTGCTTATGTATAAATTCATCAAGATGCATGCTTTTAAAATATATATGACTTTTATAATGCCTATTTCCCTTATGGAAGGTCTCAAGCATTGCATGTAGAAGCTGTGTGAGAAGAAGAGGCTGTTGGCGTGCTTGAAGGAATTTAATCAACTTAAATTTAGGAAGAAATCTTTCTTTAAAAATAGCACTTCTTCCTAGGAACCATTGAAAACATTTGCTTTCAAATGATCCTGTGTATTAGAAAGTACCTGGCCATCAACTGCTATTGTCCAACACAGGATTATTTCTTTTAAAAGCTTATTAAAATTAGAATTCTTTCCAGTGTTTTGTGGATATTGGCAGATGTCCCCTGTCCCTGGCTGTAATGAAAATGTGGATGAGTACAGACTAGGATCTAACAGATATGCAAAGTTGCTAAATTTAAAAAAAATGTATCTTTTTAGCCATTTGGGGAAAAGATATTTGTTTTGATCCTAATTAGAGACTTGCCAGTAATTTTCATATCTTCCTGAAGTAAACATGCAAGAAACATGGAGCTGGTGGGGCAGAAAAGAGCCTTGTCTGGGTGTGTTGGAGAGAGGCTGGTTTGTTCCAGCAAGATGAAAGAACAGTCCCTTGTCTGTGTTGTGCAGCACTATCAATATTATGCAAAAATGCAAAAGCTGGAGAACCTGTCAGTGGAAATTTCCATTTCCTTTATGCCTCAGAGCTCAAAGGGAGCCTATTCTGCAGGGAGACAGGAGTGGCCCAGGGGAATGGGGAGCACAGCAGCTCCTGCTCCACCAGGAGATCAGGCACATTTGCTTTCAGAGAGAGCTAATGAATTCTCCTATAGTTTAGTCTTTGCCTAAATTATCCTTTTTTCTTTTTTCTAAAATTCATGATTTGCATCTCATGTGATGTACACGGAGATCTGAAGGCCTGGTATCCATGGGGTGAGCGTGAGCTGGCCTGCAGGAGCAGGAAAGGTGCTGGAGTCCTGGGACTGTGACTGGGATCCTGCCCTGGGATCTGCTGCCCAGGGCTGGGCTCTGACTGGGATCCTGCCCTGGGATCTGCTGCCCAGGGCTGTGCTGTGACTGGGATCCTGCCCTGGGATCTGCTGCCCAGGGCTGGGCTGTGACTGGGATCCTGCCCTGGGATCTGCTGCCCAGGGCTGTGCTGTGACTGGGATCCTGCCCTGGGATCTGCTGCCCACGAGTGTGGTATGACTGGGATCCTCTCTTCTGCTCAGGGAGACACCTCAGTGGTGCCAGGGAGCTGGGAACACTGGAATTTGGCAGTGTCCCTTGGGTGGATGTTTGTGTGACAAGGGAAACCTGATTGTCTGAGTACCAATGTAAATCATTGCATGATCAGCCAGTAGAATGAGCTGTTTGTGTGTAGAGGAAAAAAATCTTCCAAGGCGTTTTGACCATTGATTTTTTGTTCTAAATTACTTTCTTGAAGCACTCACTGGAGTTATGGTAGTGTATTTTTGGGAGTCCAGTTCTGACTGCAGTTTTTCAGCTTAGAGCAGCTCAGGAGTGAGGCACAGAACTGAGCACAACACAAAATCAGTTCCCCTGGGCTGGACTCAGTCCCGGGGAAGCACCAGGGAGCAAACAGGGACCCAGGTGTGTGTTAGAACACACAGATCAGCTGGGAAGTTCTGTGCTGCCTGAGCTTTGATTTCATCATCTCTGCAGGGCTAGTTGGTTTTTATTTTTGCAGCAGTGAAACCTTGTGTGGCAAAGCAGCTGACACTTGAAGAAGTTGGCAGAAAATTTCATGTGATGCCTGAATGACAAAATGGTCCTGTGCCAGCCTTGCCTCTGCACACTATTATAATTGCAAAGCTGTAGCTCAAAGTCCTTCACAGGGCAATCTTGCTTTTTATTTCTATTTTTAATTCACTTTTTCCTCTTCTGTTTTGAAAGGACATCTTGCTTTCCTTAGCTGTTGAATGAAAAATTAAGTCAGTCATCCTTGACCTTTATACTTACTGCTCTCAAAATAGCAGTACCTATTAAGGATAAAAATGATGATTTTACACGTTTAAAAACAATTGGAAGAATTAATTTCCTCTGGGCTCTTATGGACTGTTCTTGTTTGGTGCATGGTGTGAATGTACTCCGTAGTAAATGCAGTCTCAGTTTTAAATACAAGAAACATCCTGTATTTTGGGAGTTATTGAAGGTGTGGTCTTTTGCTTTTTGACAGTAACTTTCTGAAATTTATATTAATGGGCTCTTCTATTGGGGAGGCAGTGCTTATATGTATTTTGTGTTTACCTAGTAACTCTAAATATATGAGGGAAGAAAGAGATGGCAATTAATGCTCATAGGGTTAATTTGGTTCTTTCTACCTAGCACTTATTTTTGCTTCATAAACCATGTTTCCATTTTTAATTGTAGTGTGAAATACTCAAACAATGTTTAATAACAGAACAAAATTCTGGGAGTTTGACAGTTGGTGCTTGGTTTAGAGGACTGACTGGTATGTTTGTAACCTTCAACTTGACAGCTTCCTTTAGAAGCAAGGGAAGATGTTCCCAAACCTTGCAAATAAAGTACTGGTTGGAGGAAAAATCAAGGCTGTACAAAAAAATTTAAAATAATAATTAAATGAATAATTATTAATACATAATACCAACAAATATAGAAATAAATGTTATTGATAATTAAATAATAATTAATAACCACACTCCCCTTCCCTTCCCCTGACAAACAAACCAGCAAACCCAAACAAAACTAAAAGAAAATGTTACTTTGAGCTCTGTTTTCTATGGAAGATAAATCAGACACCAGCAGGCCACTGATTTCTGTCACCTTTTGTGGCCAAGTCAGGCTGTTGAAATGTGCAGGCTTTGCTTTCAGAGTACATTAGTTTGGCCCCTTTAATCTCCATCAAGATGTAAACTTGTGGATTTCAGAAAGCAAATGACAATAGCAAGCACCAGTTTAAATGTCATATCTCTGTTTACACGACTTTCAACTGCAGTGTGGCACTGTCTGCCTTTTAAAGAGTACCTGGTCACTTGTGCAGGACAATTTACAGGATAAAGAGACAGGGCAGGAATTTTGATTGAATGATTCCTAAAAACTTGTGTGAGGTTGTGGGGAGCTGTGGATAAAGACGTGTGGATGCTGCTGGAGCCTCTGAGTATCAGAGGCAGCTCCTGGTGATGTCCCAGCCTGAAAGGCTGAGCAGCAGTGTGGAAGGTTTCAGGAGTGACTTGGTGGCAGCTGCCAGTTCTGTTAACAGAGCTCTCATTGGTAGCACCAGTTCAGCTTTTCCATCCTCTTTGATCCAGGAGCTATACCTGCCTGGACCCTTAAAAACAAGAGGGTGGGATGGTTGCAGAATCATGGAATGGTGCTTCCTGCCTTCACAGCAGAATCAGCAGAACAAAAGCCTTGCCCTCTTCTGGCATCAGATATTTCTCTTGGCATAAGCCCATCTTCACCCATGAGTTACAACATCTCTTCTGCCTTGTCCTCCCCCTAAGTGGGACAGAGAGCAAATCCATGGCCTTGGATGCTCTCCGTTGGACTGGCCAGGACCACTGGGGACTGAACAGAATTACTTGCAAATAAACTAACAAGTGACCAGAAGTCATTTGTTCACTTGAAATCATTTTGGAAAGGAGAAAGGAAGCAGCAGCAGTCTGGAGTAGGTTTGATTCAGCTCAAAGATTTGATTCTGTTATGGATGGCAGCTCTGTACAGTGTTTTATGGCACAGCATACTGTCTCATGAGGTTGCTGTAATTTCAGCAGAAATTCTTCTACCTCTGTGATGTGGTTTTACTTTGTCTGTAAATATAATAGCAAGAACTTCAGCTCCATCATGCATGGATTTGAAGCAGCTCATCTTTTTTCAATTAGTTTATTCTTCTTATTGTCACGATTATTCATTTTCTCTTATGTGGAAAAAACTTGCAGTATTTTAGGGAGTGTCCTCTGCTTCTTGCTGTAGTTTGTTTTCTTTTATTTCTCCTCTTCACCCAAAACTATTGAGGTTTTTTTTTGCTTTTCTTATCTTTCTGCTCTAAGTAGTAGCTCCCACATTTTGGATTAAGGACCTCCACTGCTATTTGCATCTATGATGTTACCATTACATGTGTATATAACAGTGTTGCTGCTGTCATTGCTCCTTAAGCCTCAAAGTCTGCTCTGGTGGGTATAAAATCATTTTCATTTTAGCTTTTTCAAAACCCAGCCTTACTATATGAATGTGAATCAGTTGTTAATTGCATTAGAAAGGTTTGACCTAAACGGGAAAAATGGAATTGCAGAGATGAATAAATTGGAGCTTCAAGATAGAATCACTTCTTCAGATTTAAATTGTTGAATTCTCTGTGTGGAATTAGATATTCTTTGTAAAAAGTAAACTAGAAAAAAATGCCAATGAAGATGACAAGTTGCTGATGTACTTATATCAAAGTACATTAGAAAAGGCATCAGCAGGATTTTGTATTTAATTTCAGCAGGATTTTATATTTTGCAGCTTGGAAGAAGCTTTCAGGTCCATTTGTAGCATGGAGCTGGGTGATCAATGTGTCATGTTGTGGGCAGGCCTGGCCCTCTTGCTTACACTGTGCTCCTTTGGAAAGGTCCCCAAGCTGACAGACTCTAAACCTCAGAGGTCAGCAGGATTAATTAATTAATTAATCTGACCCCATAAATTATAGACCATCATGTGCCATCCATGTAGTCTTTAAGTGTGGTATAAGGAAGTACAAAATGTGTGTGTGTGTGTGTCTGAAAAAGCACAACCTGTATTATCCATGTAGTCTTTAAGTGTGGTATAAGGAAGTACAAAATGTGTGTGTGTGTCGGCAAAAGCACAACCTATATTATATCAAGTGAAAGGGTAGAATATTAAATACATCTTTGGCTGTTTGTTCTGATGGTTAGGTCTCCTACAATTAAAATCAGCTTCATTTTGAATGGGACTTCTGCCTTAACTTGACAGCTGTTGGTTTTGTTTTGCTGTCAGTTTTGTTGGCTTTCTGATGTTAAGCTTTTAAAACAACCAGTGTATTTAATTGTTTGAACACTGGAGTCTTCATGTACACAGCTCAATCTTTTTAATATTCAGAGCAGTTTAGGTTCTTTTGATTCATACTGTGAGAAATTTCCTCCTCTTTTCAATAACTTCTGAGGCTCTTCTCTGTATCCTGTCCAATTTTTCTTCTAAAAATGTGGATAGTGGAACAGGGTTCAGCATTCCAGTGTCCCTTGTGAAGGTAAGATTACCACCTGTTGTGTCCATATGTCCAAAGGAGTGCAAAAGTGATTTTTCTCCCTATTTTTGGTCATGGCAGCACCTCTTGAGATGCTTGCCTACAGTAGTTACTAAGTTCTTCTGAATTATTTCTTCTAGGATTTTGTCTCTGTTCTACAGGTCCTTCCTGTAGCTGCCAGATGTACTCTAGTAGTAAGATACACAACTTGACCTTGAGTTGAATTAATTTATATTTTTTTAATTATCCAGGGACTGCCCTCTCCTCAAAATTTAGTTTCCCCATTCCTGGTGACACACATATATTTACACTGAGACTTGGTGGAAGTGTTGAAGCTGGGTCTGTTGCAGATACAGTGAGACTTCCCCTCCAGTGGGAAAAAGGTTCATGCAGGTGAGAGCCACAGCTCGTGTTGGCAGCTGCAGGAGCACAGTTAGAGCTGGAAACTCAGAGCTGCAGAGGGGCACTCCTGGAGAAACTGTGTCGTGCCATTTACCTTCTAATACTGCTATTTATATAAAGTTTAAATTTCATCTCTGAAAAGAAAAAGTTATGTAATTAAAACTGCAATGGCTAGTTAATGGAATTTGGATTTGCTTGATGACCTAAGTCTCAGGCAGCATCTATCTCAGTGAGCTTGAGCAGGGGTAAAAAAAAATCTCTGTACACAGGCAGGTGAAAAACTGTTAGGAATCTGTAAAACCCACAATTTACTTTTATTTCTTTACTATTTGATTAGAGTTTGGGTTTTACTGGGCTCGTGGCATCTGAATATGAGTGTGGAAGTGGCCATGAGCTATGGGAGCCTCTCTGATTCCTTGGGAAAGTCCCTGTTTGAGATGAGGCTCAGACCAGGGAGATGCCTCATGCAGTCTGGACACTCAGTTTTGATAACCAGCTGTTGCTGAGTCAGTACCCTCAGAATGGATTGTTTTATGTGAGTAGCACGGTGCCAGAACCTTCCATTTCTGCAGTTACTTTCTGCAGCATTCTGTGGTCGTGGCTGGGAAAGGAGATGTTGTGGGGGTGGCTGGACAGCACTGTTCCCTCCAAAGTCCTTGTGCTGTGTCACTGGAGCACAGCTGTGGGACTCATACCCGGTGGAGTAAGTTCAGAGTTACCTCTTAAGTTGTCAGCGCCTGACTTCTCATTGCACTTCACAAGATGCACTTTGGGGAAAAAAAATAAAATAATTATTTAAAAAATGGAAAAAGTGAAGGAGCTGTAACAGGAAGTGAGCCTGCCTTGCATGTGGGAGAAGAAAGTCAAGTAGAACAAATTGTCCTTGAATTGAAATTATTGTGATTGCTTTTATATGGTGGGTGTTGTCATGTTCACTGTGGTTTTGTTGGGGTTTTTTGGTTTTTTTTTCTTTACCTCAAGCACAGCAATCTCTAATTGAAGGTTTTCTTTCAATCCCTTCTGTCTGTGGTAGTATTCACTTCTAGCAGATTTGATGTTTTTGCTGAATTGTCCTTTCTTGATCCCTCCACTCTGACCTCACCTGTTCATTCGTGGTAGTTTTGTGGTTTGGGAATGGTGTTCCCCAGTTTAGTGGGAGCATGCAGACAGTGAGTATCCATACACATCAGCTGTGAAAGGTGTCCTGATAACACACTGAACACCTTGTCCTGCATGAATCTAGACTTTGTTTCTTCTGTTATTTACACCCTTGAATATTTTTTCCTCGAGTCTGATCAGTTAGCCTTGTATTGATGTAATCATTCTTGTGCAAATACCTGCCATTCAGAATTCTTCCTTTGCTTCCAGTGGCATGTTAGTGACCCCGTTTGGGGTGGGGCACTGCAGCATCACCATCTGAACACCAGCGACAGGAATTGTGTGTAGCGAGTTGTTTTCCTTTGCTTGGAGCAAAGCAGTTTCCCCTGAGCGTGTTGCAGTGTGTATGTTCTAAAATGTCTGCTTGGTGTCAGTTTTATGCATTAAATAGGTAAAAATCTCTGTTCTTACCCTGCTGGCAGCCGTTACTGCCAGAAGTGGCACAGAACACGCAGTTTTGTTCAATGCAGGCCTCAAGGAAGGGTTGGGAAAGCTCCTGGCTGGGTGTGGGCAGGGCAGGGGCTCTGCTGGCTTGTGAGGGCCGGGCTGGGTGAGCCCTGCTGGGCGGGTGAGCCCTGTGCTGGCAGCGCTGCCCACAGCCGGCCCCAGCGGAGGGGATGGATGTTCCAGGGCCGCACGGTGCCCTGGGTGCCCTGGGACTGCAGCTCCCACTCCTGCCGCCCTGTGGGACACCTGGGCCACCACAGGAACTGGCACGGGGTTGCTGCGCTTCTTGTTCCAACCTTCTGTGTCATCACTTCTCATAAACAATCATCACTTAGTAATGCTACTGAATTTATTTTTTTAGGATCTGGTCAACACTGGACTCAGCACTTTCTTCTTTTTCATTGCCTCTGTAGTACTGGCTGCTTTAAACCATAAAACTGGAGCAGAAATTGCTGCTGTGGTAAGAATTTACACTTGTTTCTATCTCTTACCGTGTATGAAAATTAACTTTTACTTATTGATTGAATAGACCTGTTGCCTTTGCCATCACAATTTACTTCTACTTTCACAATTTGCTATGAGATAGTTCTTATTTTAAGAATGCTAACATCCTTGGAGCTTTGTCTGAAGGCAAGAACAGCAGGAAAATGACTTGCAGAGAACACCTTACGGTTGAACTTGCCTTTTTCTTTGGTGCCTTCTCTTTGTTGCAAGCCTATGGTAGTAAGAAGTTGAAAAAAAAGTAAGAAATTGAAGCTGTTACACATAATTTGCTTAGTTCTTGCTCAGTAGAGATGATTTTTTGTTCTTTGGAGTGAGTGTAGTAGCACTTCAGGATTTTAAATCCACAACAGTCAGTTCAAACAAATTACTTTTGTGTGTGAGTTGGCAACCTCTTCTTATTTTCTTGTTTATTTTCTTTTTAACCTGGTTTTTAAAATCACGTGAGTTCTGCAGAAGCATAGAGGCTGATGCTCTGGACTTGTCACTTTTTGTGTGCATCCCAAGGAGTGAATGAGCTTTTGGATGAAGAGCTGGTTTCTTTACAAGGGGATTCTTTGCACTGCAGGATTTAAATGTCATGTTAGTAGTGAGAGAGCTCTGTTTTCTGGGATCGTTGATCTTAGCCACTTTTGCAGATTCTCTAGTTCATTTTGAAGAAAAACATAATTTCCCAGGCCATGCTGATTTGTCAGTGCAAACAACGTAGGAAGCGGAACTTCTGATGACTTTGCCGTGAAACTGCTTTTCTTCTTGCTTTCCCAAGTAGTCTGTGCCATGTCTTTGTGCTGCCCGTAGGTGTTTGGTTTCGTGGCCGCGGCCGTGTACGCTGTGAACACGTTCGTGGCGGTTCAGAAGTGGCGGCTGAGCAGCAGGCAGCAGAGCAGCCGGCAGAGCAGCGACTACATCCGCGCTCGCACCGAGTCCCGCGAGGTGGTGCACCGGCCCGAGGCCCAGCGCCTGGACGCCTGAGAGCCGCCCTCGTGGCACTGAAACGGAAACAGCGCTCGGCTCCCTCATGGAATAAGGGTTTTGCTTCATTTGAGGAGGAAAAGGTGGATCTGAGGGTGGCGAGGATGCCCAGCCCTGCACGTGTGCAGAGATGTGTTGAGCCAGAAGCTGCTGTCACGGAGGCAGAAAATGGTGGTGGTTCAAAAGGAAGATCCCCTCAAGGCCTCCACATAGACATGGCCATATATTATATAGCTCACAGAATATATAATATATGTCTGTTCTGAAGTATGTCATTGCTCTGGATTAACTGCGCAGCTGTTCCCTTCCCTCTCTGCAGACCCGCTGTTCCTCCAGCGGCCCCGGGGACAGAGCAGCCCTGCCTGGCTGGGCGAGGCAGGAGGGACACCCACGGGAGCACATGGAGCGCCCGGACGTGCCAAGGAGCCAGGGGCACTCAGCAATAACTCAGCCAGAGGGGCCTGTCCGTCCCAAACTGTGTCTGTCTGTCCTCCTGCCCTGAGCCTGTGCACTCAGCCTGCTGGAGCTCCGTGCCGCAGCTCTCAGGGTGCGGGAAGCGCGCGGCCGCTCGGGGCTGGCTGGGCCGGCGTGCGCCGGGATGCGCTCGGCCCCGAGCAGCTGCTTGTCTGCTCTGCTGGTACATGCCAGTTTTCAGTCCAAAGTGGGAAAATAAACGTGTTTAGGAGATGGGGTGGAGAAAAGGAGCTTAAGGGGCACAGTAGAGAATTAAGGGGTTGTCATCCTACAGACTTACATTCCAGACATGGCTTTCTTTTTCTTTTTTTTCTTTTTTTTTCCTTTTTTCTTTTTTTTTTTTTTTTTAAGTTTCAGCATTTCTAGAAGTTTTTGCTAGAACTTGCTTTCCCTCTAAGCCCAGGGTAAGCAAGAACTAGCAAAAATTTATGTGCTTTTAAAGTGTTCCTAAGGTTGCACTGTTGTGATTCATGTAAGGTAAATATTTCTTTTTGAAAGGATGGTTGTTCTAAAATTAAACCTTAATTGGTAGTAGATAAACCTGATTTTTATTTTAACTGGGTGTTTCTGCAGATTTATTCCCCTTAGGATTCTTTGAAAAATGAATTTAGCTAATTGGAAAATAATATGATTGTATTGATTTGTTTAGATAGTTTTACTTAGCTGAAGTTACTTTTTTAAATTTTCCTTGTACTTCCAGTGAATGAATTACATTTTCTCTACTCAGAACTCAAATTCAGCAGTAATTGGCTAGATAATGTCACAGTGTTATTAGGAATATGTCTCTTGATATTTTCCTGTTTCTTTGGTGTTTTTATCTCTGTGGTGCATTATTTGGCATTTGTGTGCCTGTGTGAAGACAGTGTGTGTGGGAGGAGATCTCTAGAACTGCACTCCTTTGTGGTGTGAGGAAAATGAAAATCCTTGCAATTAGTGGAAGTGTTTGCCATGTGTGCCTGAGTTAGTGTGTCCTGCTGGAGCTGCACTGCTCAGGGGGAGTGCAGCACTGGAGCCCCAAGAGCAAGGGGCAGCGTGTTGTGGGTGAGGTGTTGAACATGAAAACCCAAGTTACACCAAACAGGAGATCAGGAGACGTGCCCGGGCTTTTATAGTACTGGAGGGAGCTGGGATAGTGAAAGTGTGAACCTAATGCTGCAATATTCAAACTGAGCAGCAGAGAATTATTTTGATGAGTGAAAAAAGGGTGACGAAGGTGATGCCTTTCCATTTTCAATGTATTGACATCTATAGTGCATTTCACCTCAGTGGCTAAGAATGAGATTAAAATTCAGAGTTACTGATGAGGTTAAGGAAAATTTGCATTTTCTTAGTGATTGATGGTCTACCAGTTCCTACAGTAACATTTTATTGTGCTTTATTGGATGTTATGCCAAAGGGAACACCAGTTTAAAAGAAGATTGAACCAATTCTTGGTGCTGGGTGAGAACAGGCATTCCACTGAGGGTTGTCTCACCTGGGTGCATTCCCTGAGCAGTACGTGGCACTTCCATGGCCAGTGTGGTAAGAAATAACAATTTATTATTGCCAGAACTGCTGTGACAGCCCTGCTGTTTGCCAGCACTGCCCAAGGCTGGCAGAGTTTGCAATGTCAATTATTAAAAGACTTTTTAAAAGTAGCGCAAGCATACCCAGTCAGGAATTGTAAACTGCCATCAGAGCAGTTTGGATAAATATTGTAAAAACCCCCAAGCAAACCCAAACCAGACAAAACAAAAAAAGCCCAAAAAAACCCCAACCATCCCACACCAAAATCAAGCCAAACCCACCTACTGAAATACAGAATACAGTTCTTCAGAGGATCCATGCTTTTAGAGTTGCCATCTGAAATCAGGGAGCAGGGTGGTGTCACAAGGGGCGTTTGTCAGGAGTGTGTCCTGTCACTGCCAGGGCTGAAGGAGCATTCCCAGATCCTCTGCTGTGCTCCCTGAGCTCACTGTGGTCGGGGCAGAGCTCTGGGAGCTCCCGTGCCTCTCTAGGTTTGTGCATTTGGTACCTTTCAATCCCTGCACCTTTCCTGGCCAGAAGAAGGGCAGCTCAGGGTTTTCTGTGCAGTGAGGTCCCAGCCCTGTCGAGCTGCAGTGCCCGGAGCAGAGTGGGGCAGTCACACCTCCAGTGGGGCCCTGGGGCTGCTGCAGGAGGGGTGAGCTTCCTGCAGCTGGGAATGCCAGGATTCATTACTCACACCATGCCCTGAGCCTGGCACAGCTCTCGGGGTGGAATCCAAAAGAAAACAGTAATTCTAAAAACACTAATTTAAAAAACACTATCTGATTCAGTTCGTGAAACAAAAGCAAATGTAAATGTGTAATTTCCTTATTTTGGGGACCAAAGATGATTTGAATATTGTATAGTACATAGTTTCTAAAAAATCTTAAGCACTTATTGCTCTGCAGAGACATTATTTACTATTTGGATTATATAGAAGGGAAATAAAATAGCTGTGAGAGACAACTACATTTGAAATACTAAGATCATTTGATGTATCCATGGCTCATTCCCCCTGAGTTAATTTTACACAGCGTATTGGAGAGGTATTTTTTTAAAGACTGTTGTCTAAACTGCAGTCAGACAAAAAAACTGTTGAGGAAGAAAAGAGGGTAGACAGTTTTTTGGGTTTTTTTAAATTGCTTAGACAGGTGACATTAAATTGCCTGTCTCAGCCAGTTAGTCTTGTTTGTAATTGCTAGCACAAAGGGATAATTTCTTTTAGTCCTTAAGGGTGCTTTTAGCTCCATAACTCAAACCCCACTGTAAATAGAACTAAATGAAAGCAAACAGCTGAGCTTGGTAGGAGCAGGATGCTTGAAACAGTGAGGGTTTGGATGAGTCCCCTTTGGTCCAAGAGAGCCCTCAGAGCTGGAGTCTGTGTATTTGTGGGTGCAGAATGCCTGAACTCTGCAGCCTGTGCACAGACATCACAGTGTTACGCAGTAAGCTCTGCTGGAGCAGCAGCAGAGCTGGAGGAGCCTCCCTGCCTCTCCTGCTCAGTTTGTCAGCCTCAGCTGAGGTTGGAGCCACGTCCTTGAGCTGTGCAAACGGCCCCAGCAGGAGCTCCTGAAGCCACAGAGGAACTCACTCATGTCTGAGTAAAGCCAATTCCTTCTTCCTCCACCATTTCCTTTTATTTGGAATATTCGTGCCTCATGGATCAAATGCTTTAATATTAAATTCTTGCTAAGCCTTGTTTGTTGGTCTGTGCAGTGCCAGGAAATCAGAATGTGTCCAACATCCCTTGATTTCAGCTGTGGTGCTCTTCCCTTTCCTGATGGCTTAGGAGGTTGGCTGGGTGTTCTTTCCCGTGGGACTGTGGAAAGCTGGTGCTGCTGTGAGATTCCTGGTGGGAGCTTGGGAGGGGCAGAGAGCGATCTCCCTGTGCCTTCTGAGACAGGCACTGCAGTCTGTGCTGCTCACTGGGTTCAGAGCACAGCATCAGCAAAATCTGTGCCTTGGCAGCAGCTCCTCATCTTCAGTTATAAGGTGTCTTTTACATGGGATTTCAGTAAAGGAGCAGCAGGTGCTGCTCTTTCCCTGGCTTTGTCCCCTGTTGTGACAAACACTTCCCAGTGTTTGTTCATCGCTCTGGGCTCACGGCGCGCTCTGGCATTGTTTCAGCTCTCTGTCTTTCATTGCTGCTTCCAGAAAGAGGAGGGAGAGGTTCCCACTCCTCCCTGAGGAGGAATTTGTGTTCCCTGTGTGAGTTACTGTGTCCTGGTGCTGGCTGTCCCTCCCAGCAGGCAGAGCCGTGGTTCATGCAGAGCTGTGCACGCAGCAGAGAGGATCTGCTGCAGGGGCACTGGGCTGTGCTGGGTGGGTTAACCACCAGCTTTTCATGAGCTTTAAGGTCCCTACATGAATCTGGTCACCTCTCTGCTGTTTTGGGGGTGTGCAGGCACGGCAAATGCTTAGCTAATCTGTGGCTTTATTAATGCAATCCTTTCTTCCTCCCTCTTCCTTAGGCCTCTTTCTGCATCTGTTATTTTCTTGTCTCAAGTCTCATGTCATGTTGTAATAATTTCTCCTTGTTTTCTTTCCTGGGGGGAAAAACTCACAAAAAATCTAAAATAAGCAAGAATAATGGTTTGAGGGCATAATTAAAAAATGAAAACAAACTTAATAGCAGTTCAGGTAGTGTAGGAAGTGGTATTGTCTCTCCTATGATCAGCTTTGTCCATGGAAGAGCATGAAGAACAGAACTGCCCTGAAAGCTCTGGAGCCAAAACTCTTCAGTAGGCATTCAGGATAATAAAAAGGCACAGTCTGATAATTGGAGATATGCATTCAGGATAATAAAAAGGCACAGTCTGATAACTGGAGATATGCATTCAGGATAATAAAAAGGCACAGTCTGATAATTGGAGATGTGAGAAGGACACTTGACAATCCAGAGCTTTCAAAGTGAGATGTGAATAGTAAGAACCCACAGTGGCCACAGCAGTCATGGGGATCTCAGGGGGCTGGGAAAGGGCTGGGATTGTCCAGGCTCAGCTCCCAGAGTCCAGAGGGGGATCCAGGCTGGTCCCTGCTCAGTCCCACAGGGAGGAGGAAAGCCAAGGTCTGTCACTGCTGAAAATCAGGCACTTGACTTGTGTTTGCAGCATGAAATAATGGATTGTTCGTTGTCTGGAGGGCCAGCAAAACTCGGAATTACTGTGCAGGTACAGGTGTCCTGTGTGTGAGTTTTAATGGCAACAAAAGCATTTTAAAATTATCCTGAAATCAGTACAAAAATGCACAGAATGTTTGAAAATACTTTATAGAAATTATGCCGTGTTCCTCTCTTTATTTTGACAGAGGGAGTTGGTTAAAATGAATTTATACAAATACTCAGGAAATCTCTGAATGACATTGTGTAGAGGGATTTCCTGGTATATTATTTTCCCTGTCAGCCACTTGGCCACCTTCTTAGATCTGCTTGAGTGGTGCTGTCCAACCTGAAAGGGTTCCCTTGTTTTGGTCTTTTTTTGGTTGGGTTTTTTGTTTTTTGGGTTTTTTTTTGGTTGTATTTTAAAAATCTGTGTATAATTTAATCATTTGTATACTAAAATAATCTTTTTTTTAAAAATCTGCTTACACTGTGATTTCTGGTAGCCTTTAATTTAGAGTATACAACACAATATAATTTTCTAATTTTCTTTCAGGATATGCAGCTTTCAGAAGTGTTCTTATATATGCCCAGAAATGAAAGTTGTCTATTTATCATAGGAATGTGATTAGATAAAGTAACCTATCCAGAATCCCAGTGCAGCTCTTTCATATGTGCTGGATGGACTAGTTAGTGAAATTGCCTTTTAATCTCTATGGGTTAATAAATATATTTTTATGACTAGCCACAGATATTCCTTTTTAAATTATACTTGGCAAACAGAAGATATTTAATTTTATATACAATATACATAGTTACCTTGATTGACATATTTATAACATAGAGATTTGTGTTTACTATGAAGGTTTTATCTGTATCCCGTGGACTTCATGGGTAAAACTTTTAAAAGTCAGTTAGCATTTATGGAAGGATATGGGAACTTTCTTCATGGCTTCACAGTGAGGACATAGGAGCATTTAAAAGGCATAGCCAGATTGTTTTACAAGTATCTGGGGGGGGTTCTTATTTTTTGATTGGGGCTGGTCCCTGCAGCTATTTTAATAACATCTGGATGTGAGTAATGGAATGGAATATGAGCATCTGCCTCTTCTGACTGTCACAGGCTATTGTCTAGAGCACAGGAAATTTCAGGGTATTGTATTGTTTTGCCTCGGACAAATGTCTCAATAGACCTATTTAATTAAAACCTTCATGTGTCTGAAAGAAAACATCCTCTCTTAACTAGGTTGATTTATCTCTTTTGGTACCCTTTTAATCCCAAAAGTAGAGTTGTCTAATTATCTTTAGTGATGTTCCAGCTATCCTGATGTCTGCAGGTTAAAGTGGTCCTGGCTAGCACCCTTTTATTACAACAATTGCTACCTTCATTTTTCTACTGTTTCTATTTTAATCTTGAATGTTTACCAGATTCTATTGTTGGATCTTGTGGAGGGAGAGCGTCTTAGCACTACAGCTCATCCAGCTTTAACTCATAATACATCACAGTCCTGGAGTAAGAAAATATTTTGAATTATATATTGTGTCCAATTTATTGCATTTTAAAATGACTTCTGTACTTAAGACACAACATTTATGACATAATAGGACAAATGACTTAGCTAATCATTGTATCTGTCTAGACTTACTCTCTTTTGTGTTAGTGTCGTTTTGAAACTATTTGTATATGTTGAAGTTTGTAAGGGTTCAGGAACCCACAATAAAATAGTAAAGTATGTATTTATTTCTCATTATAATGCTCAAATTTGATTTGGAAGTTGACACTTTGTATGTCTTTTCACAGAATTGTAAACAAATACCGAAAAACTGCTTCACCTAGGGTGCCTTCCTTGTGTGGTACTAACACTTGTCATTCACAGGAACAGAGATGTAAATTTATGAATCCAGTAAACACTATTTTTGTAATGTGAGTCACTAACGCAGCTCTGGCCTCGTTGTGCTTTGTTCCCACCAACTCCAGGTTTCTGGCTGCTGTGGTCACTGCCTTCCCTCCCTGTGTGCACTGGATCTGACCCCTGGGGAATCACAGGTTGTGTCTCCTTTGCTCAGCTGCCCCTCGAGCACATTCCTGGTGCTCCAGGTTCCCTTCCTTGGGCCTTGTGGAAGGATGCTCACTGTGGGGTGTCTGTATCCTCAGGGCTGACCAGCTCTGCAGCCCAATCCAAACATTCCAGTTCTAGATCATAATTTATGATTTCCAGCTTCTGAGGAGGGAGCATCCAGCCTGACCAAAAGACTTTATCTCTCTGGCTTAGAGGTGCTGTATTGACAGGTTTGTAATTGCAAACAGCTCAGAGGTATTATGGAAACACCGGGTTAGAATTCTATTTAGGCTGAGCAAAGGGAATGCAATTTTCCTTTTATCATGAGCACAAGTCTGCTGTGCAATACCCTTGGTACTTTGCTTTTGGAGCCTGCAGTGTTCTGCCCTGGAGAGCCCTCGGTGCATCTCCGTGTGGTGCGAGGGCAGCCCCCGGCTGCTGTCCTGCCCTGGGCAGTGCCCCCTCACCCGGGGGCCAGGCCAGAGCTGCCCTGAGCACCAGCTCCTGCTGCAGGACTGTGGGGTTTCGGCAGGCAGCACATTCCCCTGGAGACAGCTCACAGCCCTGGAGGATTTCCCGTTGTTCTGCAGAGCCCGGAGATGCAGCGGCTGCTCCAAGGTGGAGCTCCAGGAGCGCCTCCCTGCCGTGCCCACAGCTGGAACTCACTGCTGGCAGAGCAGCAGCTGCCGGCTCTGCGTGGGAAAGGTATCCTGGGAATGCTTGACCAAGCTCAAAGACAAGGTACTCTACAAGAAAATACAACCTCCTTGTGTAGCTTGTTTCTACACCAGTAACCATCTTTCAGTTGTTGAGTTCTTTCTTTGGTGTCTGTGCTAATAAAAAAACACAAGCTGAAGAGTTGTAAAGTCTTGCAATACACAAAGCAGTCTTGGTTTTAAAATCCATGCTATTGCAGCATAATTTAAACGGTGTATTTATCAGTTTTAAATGTCATTTTGCTTTTCCAGTCTTTTGTATATGGGCACAATACTTTTTGTAAATTTTTTTTAATTTAGTTGTCTTTCTGTCTTTTCTTTCTGGTATTGGAAGATTGGAGCTCTCTGGGTTCTCACGGTACTCTTGTGATCATTCTTCATAGTGGTAAAAGTCTGTATTTTTGTATGTAGGAGAAATGGAAGTTTTCTAACACTTATCCAAATCAATATAGTACGGAATCATTTGTGAAGGACTTCCTGTTTAATAAATGGACATATTAAAGTACTAAAACAGTGTCTCCATCTGTAAACATGGCTGGGCTGGGCTGGGCTGGGGTAATTTTCTTCCTAGTGGCTGATGTGGGGCTAATGTTGATAATTCAGAGATGTTTTTGTTAATGCTGAGCTCACCCAGAGCCAAGGCTTTTCCTGCCCCTTGTGCTGCCATGCTGGGGAGGGGCTGGGGGTGCCTGGGAGTTTGAGGGGAGCAGAGCCAGGACAGATGACCCCAACTGACCACAGGGCCATCCCATGTCTTATGGCATCACTGTATGAAGGGGGAAGAAGGAGGAAGGGGGCATGTTTGGAGTGATGGAGTTTGTCTTCCCAGGTCACCCTTCCAGGGGATGTGGCCCTGCTCTCCTGGAGGTGCTGAGCACCATGGGAATTAATTCCTTGTTTTGCTTTGCTTGTGTGCACAGCTTTTGCTTTCCCTGTGAAATTGTCTTTATCTCACCACAGGAGTTTTCTCACTTTCCCCTCCCTATTCTCAGCCTGATCCCACTGGAGGAGAGCGAGCCCAGCGAGGGCCTTGGGGGCTGCTGGGGTGAAACCACCCCAAGAGGCAGCAGAAGCCCTGAGTGCAGCACTGGGGGGGTCCTGGGCTCATAACAAAGCCAGGCAGCTGCAAAAGGCACTTTGTGTGTGGGACAGCGTGGGGGGAACACCCACCGTGCTGGGGCTGTCCCTGGGACACTCCTGGCTGCAGGAGAAACCATGGGAGAGCCCTGGGGAGAGGCAGTGGAGCAGAGGGAACGTGGAACCGCTCTGCTGCTCTCGTGCTGGTGGTGGAATTGCTCTTGGAGCAGTTCTGGTGCGCTGCCATGGGCTGCAAGGCTCCATCCTGGGCTCTGCAGCTGCCCATTTGGGACTGGAAAGGGATTTTGGGGCTGAAATGCCCCAGGAGTGGGGGAACATTCTGCTGCCTCTCGGGCTGGGGCTGCGAGTGATGCTGGGGGCATTTTTGGTTTCCAGGTGCTTTAGGCAGGAGCTGGAAGCACTGAGTCAGTACAGGTGAGAACTGTGGAAAGGCACGAGGGATGGGTGAGTCTGTGAAGGGATTTGGGAATGTGGATGCTGCACTTAGGACACCAGGGAGGGACCAGGGGCGGGCAGGGAAGGGGACACAGATGGTGGCACAAGGGAAGGATTCTCTGAGGGAGCCAGAGGCTCTTACGAGGGGCCAGTTCATTTTGCCTGTGTGGGGCTGTCAGCAGCACTGTGGCATTACCCAGAGGGGTATCCGTGGTGCTCCTGGGTCAGGAGAAGCTTCATCAGCTGACAAATTTAAAAAAAAATAATAAAAAAAAGATTGTCTAACTTATAGATACTGGATCTTCCTTCAGTCGCCCAGGAAGACTGTAATTAATTTATTATGGATCAAGCTAACAAAATGTGATGGGCTGTGTCCAAAATCCATAAAAGAAAAGGACAAGGATTTCCTGGTGAAAATAAACGTTGGAATCAGTATTTTCTTCTTCACAGAAGTGGATTTAAAAATTGACTTATTTTTAAAAAACAACCAAAACCAAACAATCAACAAAACCCCACAAAAGCAATAGCAATAAAAGACCAAACCAAAACCAAATCCCACCAACCAAAAAAAAAAAAAATCCCTAACAACCCCAAACCAAAAAACCTCCACCCAAACTCCTCTCCAAAGCTCCAAAGAAAACCACACTTAAATTTTCTGGGTAGCACTGTTTTACTTTCTGGCCTGGAAGCTTTACAAAACACTGAACACTGAATTCTTCCAGTAAAGGAATGTCCTAGGGTAACTCTCTGTGTTGCAGTGTGGATTCTTCGATGCACTCCTGTTTATTTATTCCTGACTTTTTAAAGATCCTGACTTTTAAGCCATGCAAAAAGGTGTGAGAAGATTCACATTCTCAGTGCTTACCTGAATTTCTTCTGCTTCCTTGATGCATCCTCTCCGAGGATTAAAGGAGGGCCGGGTGGGGCTGCTCTGCACACGCTGCACATGTGGCATTTGCCCTTGGAGGGCAGTTTGCATCCTGGTGCAAATCTGGAGTGAAGCCACTCAATTATTTCTGACCAGAACTGTGCTCAGTGAACTTCCTTAGCAGGACAGTGAGTGGAACCAGGTGCTTACTGAGCAGAGCATCCAGTTGTGTTCTGCTTTCCAGCACACCAGGCTGTTCTCCCCACCACAGCAGCTGAAATTCTCTGCTGTTCCTTGGTATCCTGGAAGTCTGTCAGACGGAAACTGAAGACTTGAGGAACTTCAAACAGTATCAAGTGAAAAGCACAGTTAGGTGGGGTAATAGACAGAGTGTTCAAATGATAACAGAGCCTCTTACTTCAGTCAGAATCTATAAACCAGCTACTTGGAAAGGTATTTGAATTTCTTGGAAAGGTCTTTTGAACTCTTTAGTGTCACCTGTCCAAAAATCACTGCACAAGTCTGAAGAAGTCCACAGATAAATGGAAAAACTTGGTAGGAGGGAGAGAGCCCTTCAGGCAGATGAGAGCTGTGTGAACTCACCTGAGGTGCCACTTTCCCTTCCTGTCGGTGGCTTTGAGGTCTTGGAACTTCTGGCATTGTTCCTACAAGGATTCATCCACACTCGGGGTTGGAAACTCCTCAGGCAGGCCCAGGAGCTCCAGGTGGCTGCAGTGAGGGCAGGGATTGGGCTCTGGGGGCTTTGGAAGCAGCTCCTCCAGGGGACACGAGTGATTGTGATTGGAAAGAGGTGTCTGAGGAGGCCACCGAAATCAGTGCTCAGTTGAGGGCTCCACACTGCAGGGGGGTGTTGTGCTTGTCTCCTGAACTGCAGAGAGTGCTCCCAGCACCCTTTTGATGTCAGCTGAGGAAAAACAACCAAACAAACCCAAAAAGCCAAGCTGACTTTTCCTCCGTGTGCCCCAGACCCTGAACTTGGTGCAGTATTTGTGGCAGAATATGGGCAGAATAGTGAGTCAGCCCCTTCCACCCCAATCCAATCTGGCTTTGGAGTAATTATTTTAAACTTAATTTTCTGAAATGATATCCCTAAAATACAGAACCATGTTTTCTTTCAGTCATGGGAACAGATCTTTTTTAATAAAGGGCTGGGATCTTACAGAAGTGCTTGACCCTGGGAGCAAACTGCTTTGAAACAATCGGAGCCATCGAGGACTGAAAAGCCAGTAAGGAAATTCTCTGGGCAGGCACCTCACTGCAAGCTGCTAAAGCAGTCCTCAAGCAACTAATGAAGGAACTAATTTTGTTTGCTGCCTGTTCACTTTAAACCAACATGGAAAAAATGACCAGAAAACCTCAATATATTTTGGGTGTGTGAAGGATGAACCCGAAGGGTACTTTGCTGTTTATTGGTTGCCAAGAGAGAGTACTGAATCCAAAATGTCTACTCAATAGTTAGAACAAATTCTTGGTTAAATTTTTTCATCTCGTGCCCTAAGGAAGAGGTTTGTCCTGTGGCTGGTCCCCAGGGCTGGCTCTGAGCTGTGCCCCTTCCCCAGTACAGATTTAGGATTCCTGAAGTCACTGCCTCTTGTGCTGGGCAGAGGCAAAGCAGCAAAATCAGGTCTTCAAGTAAGTAAAGACACCCAACACTTCTATTAAAAGAAGTTTAATCCAGCATGGTTTCTAAATATTAACCACGTCTCCAGTTGTGACATGCAGTACATTTTTTACTTAAAAAAAAAAAAAAAAAAAAAAAAAAAAAAAAAAAAAAAAAAAGAGAAATACAAAACAAGTATAAAAATGAGCCCAGGTCCCCTGAACATCACAGTGTGTGCCAGTAAAGTATGACAAGAGAAGGGAGAGAAGCATGGGATTTCATATAGGAAAAGGTCCAAAGAAATCTTTCTCATAAATCAGAGATTGTCTGTCCCATTTAGAAGCAACCACTTGTTTTGCATTTACTCTGTCAGTGATGAGGAAGCAGGAGATGTAGGAACTGCCTGCTGGACAACTCTGAGCCTGACCAGCACCCCTGGTCCCTGCCAGCTCCCCTGTCCTGCTGGCAGCTGCCCCAGGGAACTGGAACCCAGGTGCTGATTTTATTCCAAAGGAAATCTGCCTTTATTGTTTTATCCCCGTTTTTCACTTACTCTGTTAGTACCATCTGCTCACATTTTAATCACACCTGTTCTGGTACTGTGTTCGTTTTCAAAACATCTATACGGGTTTCTTTGCCACAGACCTGTCTGATGCCACCTGTGAGGAGCACTCTTCCCAAGCATTTATAAATGGACACAGATATTCCAGGGTAGGTTGTGCTACCCATGAAAACAGCTTTTACATTCAGAGGGCTTTTTCCCGGGAATACAACACCACAAGATAAATCGCATCCTTCCAGGGGAGAAAACCCAACCCAACCCACCCCACCCAGCCACGCTGAAAAAAGGGGGCTGGGGAGATGAATTCATTGCAGACATTCTGTAGTTTGGGGTTGGTTTCTCGGCCTTTTCACAGTGGGGAGGAGGCACTGCCCTCCTGGGGCCTGGGTACATTCAGTGTGGCGGCACCAGTGGCCAGTGGCACAGAGCAGGACATCAGCACTGGTGCCTGGGGCACAAACATCTGCAGGTTTCAGGTCCTGCTGGGAGGTATTTGCCAAGCCTGCCTTCCCTGGCTGTGCAAACACTCCCAGAGCTTCCACAAAAACAGGACAGGGCTGCCCAGAGCTGCCTCAACTGTTCCACCCCATCCTGTGGTGAAATTGCAGCAGAGGGGATGTGGCTCCATCCAAGCAGCTTAAAACAAGGGATACTGAATGTTCGATGAGCCAGCTGCCCTGCAGCACCTTTATACTTTGAGGTTTGCTCTTGCTGCAGATTTCCAGTTGTCACTTTTCCTTGTCACAGATAGACAGGAGATACAAAGGTATTGAAACCAACATGTTAACTGTAATCCATGCCTTCAATGCTTGGGAGTATTCAGACTTTGGATAAAGAAATATTGTTAGTTAATCAAGAAAAATACAAACAGGCATCCAAACCTCTCCTCTTTGGCACGTCAAGAAGTATAAAAACTCTAAGTGTTAA